ATATATATATATATATATATATATATATATATATATATATATATATATAAATATATATATATATATATATATATACATATATATATATATATATATATATATATATATATATATATATATATATATATATATATATATATATATATATATATATATATATATATATATATATATATATATATATATATGTATATATATAATATATATATATATATATATATATTATATATATATATATATATATATAATATATATATATATATATATATATATATATATATATATATATATATATATATATATATATAATATATATATATATATATATATATATATATATTTATATATATATATATATATCAGGGTGGGTCATAAATTTTTTTTTTTTGTTACAGGCTCTAAACATTGCTAGAAAGTTGTTTTTTTATGTACTAATTTAAAAAAGTACTTACTTTTATGGATTGAACAATGTCTTCCACCCGCAACTATAATTACATAAATTAGCAGGCCCTATTATTATTCAAAAAAAAAGTTTTCTAAAATTATGTGATGTAGGTACTCAAATAAAGCGAAATTTTATAAAAATTTCAAAAATAGTAATTTTTTCATATCAAAGTTATTATTTTAGATTTTATTGCATAATAACTATAGCTTTTTAACTAAAAGTGAAAAAAGGTGCATTTGACATGTTTTTTAATAACAATATTTTTCGGCAATATTATTTTTATAAAACGATTTTTATTTACAAATTTTTTATAAAATTTTGCTTTTTTTGAGTACCAGGTTGACCTACTTTTGAAAAACTTTCTCCAAAATATTAGGGTACCAGTAATTTTCCCAATAAAGTTGCGCCCTTTAAATCTATCACAATCACTTTCATCCTTGATAGTATCAATATTAATAACTATTAGCAATGTTTAGAGCCTTTAACAAAAAAAAAAAAAAATTTTGACTCACCCTAATATATATATATATATATATATATATATATATATATATATATATATATATATATATATATATATATATATATATATATATATATATATATATATATATATATATATATATATATATATATATACAGGCCCGCCCAGAGCTTTTGTGATGCCCGTGTCCAAAAGTTTAATGGATGCCCTATCATACTTCAGGTCTTAAAATAACAAATAAATTAATATAGTTTACTTTCATAAAAAACCTAAAATCACATTTAATTTTGGTTTGCAAGAACAAACTATGATAAAATCAATTCTTAATTGACAAACACATCTTCCGGGCCTTCTTAGCAGCAAAATTTGAAATAACTTCTTCATAATTAACGTTAATGGCTAAATCTGATTCGATTGGAAGGATCATCAAGTAGGACAATCGCTCCTGGCCCATTGTGGAACGAAGATAATCTTTGATGATAGCTAACTTGCTGAAAGATCTTTCTCCTTCAGATGTTGAAACGGGCAATCTTAGAAAGATTCTAAGAAAAACACACACTTGCGGAAATATTGAATGCAGCTCCTTTGCATAAACTTCATTTAGAAGTTCGACAGGCTTTTCGCTGGCTAGAATATTTCTTCTTACGGAAAAAAAATGCCGAACTTCATCAGAAAGTTCGTTTTTACGTCTTTTAAGTCTTCTGGGTAAAGTTTAGCCAGATTCTCAGCTTTTAAACCTAGTTCTTGGTCTGTTTGAGATTTCTGTAAAGACCAAAGGAAGGAAAACTTGCTACATTCCTCTTCTATTACTTTAAATCTTGATCTCATTTGACTAGTCAGATTGTCGAGTGCAACATTGAAGACATTACATTCAAAGTTTTTTGATGCTTCTTCGTGGTTGTAACCAGCAGTTTCATCTGAGACGATCTTTTTTCGCGTTCTCTTCACAGTAAACATTATTTTATCAAATTTCAAGTTCTTTGCAACTTCTGTTGCCTCTATCAAAATCAGGTCCCAAGACAGACGGATTCGATCCAGATCCATCAAAAAGCCATTTAGAATCTTTACTTCATCATCGAGAGTGAGTTGAGTGGATTGAAGCAGAAGACTCACGTTTTTAACTGCCATCAAACATTTAAACCAAAAAGTAGTGAAAACAACAAATTCAAAAGAATTCATCCATTTAATGAGATAATGCACTTCATTACTACTTTCGCCTGGAAGGTCTAACTCTTTTTGACGATGTAATGATTTCAAGATCTCTCTTGGCTTTTTTACTAGTGGCTCAACTGATTCAATCCTTGAACTCCATCGTGTAACAGAAAGTTTATGTAATGGTTAGCCTGTCTCCTCCTGAAGAATTTTCCAACGAACTGGGCTGCTGCTGAACAGATTGTATAGCTTTTGAATATTTCCATAACAGGATTTTGCAGGAGCCGATGATTCAATAGCGTGTACTACACATAAGTTCAAACTGTGAGCAGAGCAAGGAATGAAAATTTCTTGTGGATTATTCTGTTTTATCAAAGCTTGAACTCCATTGTAAATACTTGCCATATTAGTGCCGTTGTCGTAGCCTTGACCACGACAGTTTTTTATGTCGAGCTCATTCTCTTCCAACACATTCAATATCAACTTTGTTATATCAGATCCCTTCTTCTTTTCAAGTTCTTCTAGCTTAAGGAATCTTTCTTTGACCTCCCACAGCTGATTATCATTAAAATGCAAAAAACGAAAAACAAAAGTTATTTGCTCGCTGTGGGACGAATCGGGAGTGCTGTCCGTAATGATGGTGATATATATTGATTTTTTGATTTCTCGAATAACTTCTCGAACCACTAATTTGCCGAATTCCTTGATAAATTCATTTTGTGATTTCCAAGATAAATAATGAGCTTGCATGCGTTTTTCTCCTTCTTGGTGCTTAGCAATAAGATGCATATGATCTTGTAATGTTTTGTTGTGGCGAGCAATTAACTCGAGCGCTCCAAGGAAGTTTCCATTCCCATTTTTGAACAACTTTTGATTGGATCCTAATTGCAAACAAAAAGTAATCAAAATAGTAATCAATATTTATATCCAATTAAAAATTGCAATTTTGATTTTTAATTTACAAATAAAATAATGCAAAATATAATTTAAAATTTAAAAACAATATTCTTACCCCTAAAAGCTAAGTTTCTTGAAGCTAGAAAAATTGTGACGTCAAGAATGCATTGTAAAATTACTTTCCATCGCTTTGTTTCATCTCCAATTTGTTTTTCTAACTGATGCTCAATGGACTTTTGACTTTTCAAGTGAATCGTAGCTGTTTTCCATTGGAGATAACAGTTACGGTGAAAATCGCTTTGTTGATGACTTTTAACGCGATCTGAAAGTTTTTTCCAATTTTCATGTATACCTCCATTCCAAGACAACAAACTGGATTGAACACCGGGTCTGGTTAAGTTAGGCGATCCAAAAAGGGAGCAAGGGAAACAAAAGAGTGATGCCACAGCCTTACTCCAAACGAGCCAATCTCTTTTAACTTTTTCTCCGTTTCTTTGTTCCTCTAAAAAGATATGAGTAAGGAATTTGCGCTCTTTTTGATCTCTTGGAAAATTGCTAGGATTTGAAGAAGGTCCCATCAGAATTATATTCGTTCGATCAGTTTTTGTGAGGGTGCGGTTGTGCCTCACAATGGGGGCAAAACCGTTTTTTTCACTAAGTGTAATTTTTGTGTAATAACATTTTCAAAACCCGTTCAACTTTTTTCTTAAATGCATCAATTTAAAGCTTAATGATGTGGTTATTGAAATAAACTGCTAAAAAAACACATTTCGATTTTATTTTCATATAACATTAATCCAAACGTTACGGGGGCGGTTATGCCCCCACTTCCCCTATATATATATATATATATATATATATATATATATATATATATATATATATATATATATATATATATATATATATATATATATATATATATATATATATATATATATATATATATATATATATATATATATATACCTTGTACAGAAAATTTAAAAACGCACTTGTTTTTTTTAAAGTTAAGGTATGTTTAAAGTGATACAAAGAGAAAACATGAGGCAGGGTCCAGGTTTTTTTTTTTTAATATTTTTAGTCGATTATTAATTAAGAAAAATACACAACTTTGAATAAGAAAAACACAAAATCTTTTCTGAAATTAAACAACAAACTCAAGTAATCAAAAGATTACTTAGAAGAAAGTGCAATAAAGTTTAAACGCACATACAACTCCTTTTAATCGAAATATATTAAAACGGAATATGACCCCCGTTGTTTTTAATACATGCTTGAATTCGCCTAGGCATTGATTCGATTAAGTTTTCTATCATCTTGATTGGTATTTCAAGCCACAGTTTGGTCAGTTCTTGTTTGAGCATTTCGTGACTAGTTATTTGCTTTTTTGTTAGTTGATAATCCATCCAGCTCCATAAATTTTCAATTGGGTTTATATCTGGTGATCGTGCTGGCCAAGGCATAAGTTGAATATTACTTTTAAGGAAATAATCAGTGATTGAATGCGCTGTATGGCATGGAGCATTGTCTTGTTGAAATAACCAGTTTTGATCAGCATGGAACAAATCGCGACTAGGGATAAGCGCGTTTTCCAAAATGTCACGATACTCATACTGGTTTAATCTTCCTTCGTATATTTTATGACAGCCAACGCCTGAGCCTGATATACAGTATGGTGCAAAACTGAACCAGAGTTTTTAAAAAAATACAAAATTATGGTTTATTTTGTTTTCGATATATTAGCGCTGTCTGGATTATTACAGTAGTAAAGTGCTAATTTTTATGACTTTTTACGCCTCCTCCTTTTACCCTAATTCACAAGTATTTTTATCTAGTGACAAACATCTTTTGACTCAGTTTTGCACCATACTTGATGAAGGCAATATCTTTATTATTTTTCTCAAATTAATTTTATAATTTTGAGTGCAAATAAATTGACTATATTTATATCTAAAATAATTTTCTGTTTTCATAAATTTTATTGTTTAAATTTATTGTTTTTGATAGTTTTTTAATAAAATGAGAATTTCAAAGACAGAGAGCAATTTAATAAAAAAGATGATCGAAGAAGGAAATACAACTCGTAAAATTGCTTCTAAATTAAAAGTTAGTCAAAGTACTGTGCAACGAATTAGAAAAAAATGTGGACATATTCTGAAAAAAAATGTTGGCGGTCGACCAAAGAAGTTGAGTGCGGTAGACAGTAGAAGAGTAATCAGATATTTGACTACTGGAGAAGCAAAATCGACATCTCATGCAGCTAAACTTTTGCAACGTGATACAGGAAAAAATGTGAGCAGGTGGACAGTGCAGCGAGATCTCATTAAAAGTAAATTTCGAGTAATTAAAAAGAAGAAAAAACCATTACTTAGTAAAAAAAATATCAAAGCAAGATTAAACTTTGTAAAAAAATATGAAAACTTTACCGAAGATGATTGGAAGAAAGTTATTTGGTCAGATGAAACTAAAATTAATCGGTATAGCACAGATGGCCGTCAATGGAGCTGGAAAAGAGAAGATGAACCATTAACCCAAAAAGATTTTATTTAGACAGTTAAACATGGGGGAGGCAATATTAAACTATGGGGGTGTATGACGGCTTATGGATTGGGACCTATTCGAAGAATAGTTGGAAACATGAATAAGGAAATGTATCTTGATATTTTACAGCATGAATTATTGGAAACTGTTGAAAATATGCCTTACCCAATAAATGAGGTCATCTTTCAACAGGACAATGACCCAAAGCACACTGCTAAAATGGTTAAGAATTGGTTAGCTTCGCAGGACTTTCAAGTGCTAGAATGGCCAGCACAAAGTCCTGATTTGAACCCAATAGAAAATTTGTGGTCACAATTAAAAAAAGTGCTCGTTAATAACTATTCTGACCCTCCATCATCCATTAATGTGTTATATGAACGAGTTCAAGAACAGCGGAAAAATATTTCGTTAAACCTTTGCGAAAATCTTGTAAAGAGCATAAATAGAAAATTAGCAGCAGTTAAAAAAGCTAAAGGATTATGGACAAAATATTAAAAATTGACAAAATTGACAAAAATTGACAGTTTTTTTATCGTGGTGCAAAAGTGATTCACCATGTTTTTCATTTATTATTTTGTAAGTAAATATTTTTCTTCAATAAATACTTAATAAAAATTGTTTTTTTAATAATAGTTCCTACCAGCAATATTAATTCTCAAAATGCTTAATTCTTTATAAGAAAATAAAAATATTATGCATTCTGGTTCAGTTTTGCACCATACTGTACATCCCCATATGCCGACGGAACCACCGCCTTTTTGAATACGGCTAAATAGGTGTTGCTTCAAATCTTTTTCTGTATTTTTGCAACGAACAAATCTCTTGTTTTTTCTGTTAATAATTTCGAAATTTGATTCATCACTAAAGATAATCATTTTCCATTGTTCTACTGAATAATTTAAACGCTCTTTGCACTATTTTTTTCGCCTTTGGCGATCGGTTAACGTCAACAACCGCTTTCTTACACAATGAACGAATTTAATTCTTTCTTGCGTAATAACTTACTTATAGTCATTCGACTAACTGTTTTGTCTACCAGCGAACTATTGATTTCTGCACTTAAAGTTGATACTCCCGCTTTTGGTTTACGTCTGCTTAGCATGTAAAGCATGTTTTCATCGCGTGCTGTCAGTTTTTTCGGACTCCCAGTACGAGGTTTATCATTGACACTACCAGTTGATAAATAATTTTTTGTTGTTGAACAAACGCTGAATTCAGAAATATTTAGGTGTCTGCCAAATTCTCTATTGCTTATTTTCATTTTATGCATTCCAATGACTTGCCATTTTGTTTTCGACGAAACAGCTTTTTTACCCATTAAAATATGATATTTTGACAAAGCTGTATCAGTTGAAAATTGCTATATTTTAAATCAAATCGTATTTGTGGTTTTTATTCTAAGTAAGATAAGAATAGGAATCCAAATGAAATATACTAACGTTACCAGGGTGTTGAGTGATAAAAATGCAAAAGACTTAAATAAAAAATCTCTCAATAAACGAGTTTTACGCGTTTTCTTATCAAAGTGCGTTTAAATTTTATTTCAAAAAATTGAAAGGAGTTAATTGCTCCGTTACTTTTCTCATCAATCTCCACCTCCGTTATAATATCCATACAATTTTTTTTCTATCTAAACTAATAATATATAGCCATAGTATAAATAAATATAAAAATACAGAGCATATCTCATTAATTTATCGTGATATCATTTCTTAAAAGTATTATATAAGTAAAAAAAAACAAGTGCGTTTAAACTTTCTGTACAAGGTGTATATATATATATATATATATATATATATATATATATATATATATATACACCTTGTACAGAAAGTTTAAACGCACTTGTTTTTTTATATATCTATATATATATATATATATATATATAATATATATAATATATATATATATATATAATATATAATATATATATATATATATATATATATATATATATATATATATATATATATATTACAAAATCAAGAATTCGTCACTATTTCTTTACAAACAGAGTTATAAATGATTGGAATTCTCTTCCACAATGGATATTAGATAAAGATAATTTGAACATTTTTAAAAACAGTATAGCACCTTTTCTATTTTATTCTATTCTATATATTATATAGAATAGAATAAAATAGAAAAGGTGCTGTACACACTTGAGGTATGTAGAGTCTTAATTACGTAGAATTAAGACTATGACAGCCGATTACAAAAATTAGTGTTCAGAAACCGAAATAATTATCGATACTGTTTTTAAAAATGTTCAAATTATCTTTATCTAATATCCATTGTGGAAGAGAATTCCAATCATTTATAACTCTGTTTGTAAAGAAATGGTGACGAATTCTTGATTTTGTAAATATATATATATATATATATATATATATATATATATCTATATATATATATATATATATATATATATATATATATATATATCTATATATATATATATATATATATATAATATCTATATATATATATATATAAATATAAAGTGTAAATTTTATTTGTTATAAAAAAAAAAAAGCAACTATTACAAGTATTCGTAAAAATTTTTCTGAAATGAGCCATTGCTCAGTGGGCCAGGTGGTATACAAAACCTCAAAAATGAAAGTTTATTATTTCAAAAACCATGTTATAAAACATGGTCGTAATACTTTATCGTAAGTTTTTTTTATTTTTATGCTTAACCTTATAAAGTTGTGGCATGACTGTGACATAACTTGTGACATGACTGTGACAAAATCAACATAACATGACTTGTGACATAATTGTGACATAATCAAATTTAGCTTTTTCTTGCTCTTCAACTTCGTTTTTTTTTACATTATATTAATTTATAAACATTTTTTTTCAGTCGGTTTAACTTCTCTTATTATTACATATTTAGGTGCTCTAACAAGTTCTTAGGGTCTTATCACTGAGCACGAAGCTGCATTTAACCAGAAAGTTTATTTCTTCTTACCAACTATGCATGTATGGCCAACACCGGTTCAAAACCACAGACCTCAACTTCTGAAGCCTGAACTCTAACCACAACAACACGACTGCTTTAAATTTAGATATAGCTACTAATCTACGACACTTTTAAGCTAAAACTACAGCTGTTTATTTTGTTACCTGAAATTATTTTTACTGTGTTAACTAGTCATTTGTTCTGCCATTCATTCTGTTGCAAGAATAAGTAAAATTAACAACCTCGCATCTTCTGAAGTTAATACAACTGCTTTACCTGGATTTTTATATCGAATATTAAAATACGTTTCTCTTGTATTGACAATTTTTCAGAGCTCTACAAACATTACAAGACTAAGTAAAAGTTACAATCTAGCACCTTCTGAAGTTGATACAACTGCTCTATCTGGATCTTTTTCAAAGTACTAGAATACGTTCCTCTTTTATTTAATATTTTCCAGAAAAATCTACAAACATTTTTAAAAAAAGTAGCAATATTGTCTGCTTCTTTTAAGTTAATTTAGGATTTAAGAGCAGTTGAAGTTTTATAATAAAAGACTAGTGGGCAAGTAGACATCTTTTATTTTGAAGTAGATTTGGGTGCAACAGAGACCATTGTAAGTTTAGACGAGTTTTGTTTTGTTTTTTTTGAAATTGAACTTAAGATTTTAGCATAAAAAGTTTCTCATCATACTCAAAACTTTTTATTTTTTTCTGTGTTCCACTTGTTACAAACAGTTCACGCGAAAAGTTATATAACAAAAACACATTGCTCTTGGTCAACCAAGATAAAAACAATCAAACTTTGGAAATAGTACTTGATTTGCTGAAAATTATATAAACACACAATATGTTTAGTTCAATCTCAAACCATGTACAATCAATCAGCTTCAGGTAACTATTTAATTTTCTGTTTCTTTATATATAATGTGATTATGCATAATTATTCATTATTCATGTTGAGTTTAAATGAAGAACTTGTAATGTTTTGAGTGTGTATTTGTATATATATATACATCATATATATATATATATATATAAATATATATATATATATATATATATATATATAATATATATATATATATATTATATATATATATATATATAAATATATATATATATATGTGTGTTTGTATATATCATATATATATATATATTATAATATATATATATTATAATATATATATATAATATATTATATATATATATGTATATATATATAATATATATATATATATATATATATATATATTACATATACATATACATATGTATATGTATATATATTATATATATATATATATATATATATATATAATATATATTATATACATATATATATATATTAATTAGGTACGTGGACTGATTTTTTTAAATTATCAAATACTAAAATGTTGTATATAATTATAAAGCCCTCAAATGCAGTATTTCAAAGGTGAAAAAATTACGAAAATTGGACAATTTTATCAAAAGTTATGACGTTTTTAGTAGCAAATTTTCGATATATAGATTTCTTAATAAAACTGTGGTCAAAAAAAAATTTGACAATTCTTATTCAAAAATCTATAATTTGGTATCAAAAGATAGGTGTAAAAATGGTCTTTAATTTTAAACTTATTTCTAGGTAAATGGCGCATCAAGGGATCCGGAGGGGGTGCTAATTCACCACCAACACCGCGCAAAAAAACACTTTTTCTACATAATATTATAATATTTATGTATAACATGTTGGTATTATTTTATTCTACATCACTAGCGAGTATTACAGGTCTATCTTAAAGTTGGGTGTTAGGTTGTGGGTAAGGTTTAACACACCCTATCAAAATTTCATTCTTTTAAGTATTCTAATATTTACTAAAAGGATTAAATTATAAAAAGATAAATATAATATTTCAATACTATGAAAAATAGTAACTAGTGGTTTTTTGAAGTGGGGCGTATGCCGCCCCCTGTCGCCCTAAACATGAAAAAAAAAAAAAATTAATGACAATTTCACAAAAAATGTTTTAAAACTTACCAACCGTACCAGCTGATGGCAGTCC